CAACACCCTTTTTTCTGTTCCTTCTCCTTCATGATCTTCATCCTCTCGACATCATTACTGTTTTGCGTCGACCATAATCTTTTGAATCCTCCTAACTTCCATAAAGCATGCCTTTCTCTCAATCTCTCCAAATTAATCCTCATCCCTACCCCTTCCACAAAGAGAAGGCCAAATTTAAGCCACATCTGTTATTGGGCAGAGCCTACAGGCAAACTCAATACTTATATATTTAATGTTTTCATTTCTCACTCCTTTTTTAGGATTAAGAAAGTTTTGTATATTTCTGTTTATGTTCTTCCTTTTAATTTCCAGATTATGCATGGAAAAGGAGCTAAACTTAGCAGCAAGGAGGAGAATTTGGCAGCTCTTGATGACGGAAGCAATGAGCTTAAAAGGTCCATCCATGACTCGAATTGAGTAGTATCTCTTTTTATTTCTTCTTCAAGATGGTTTAGTGATTAAAAAATATTATAAAGGAAATGCTATCAGCCATGAAGACCAGATCCCGCTTGTGGGATTACACTGGGTATATTGTTGTTGTTGTTGTATCAGCTATGAAGACTTGGACATATTTAGCCAATTGGAAAAGCTTGTTGTTTTCTAACTCTTAAAAGGCCCATTCATGATTGAAACGAGTGATATTAGATGAGCTTAGAAGGTCTATTCATGACTCGAATTTAGTGATATTTATCTCTTCTCCGAGCTCTTTTAGTGTCAAAATATTAATATAAAGGAAAAGCTACCAGCTGCGAAGACTTGGACATATTTAGCCAATTGGAAAAATATTGTTGTTTTCTAACTCTTATTATTTTGTAGTTCTTTTTAGAACTGATGCATCTTGAGATGTCTGCTAGGAGTTAATGCTTTCTGCTAGGATGTCAACGTGGAGCCTTTACTCTGCCTACCTGATAGGTAGCTGATTAAAATTCTTACATGTATTGGTTGGTAGACTTATAGGTCAGGTATTGATTTTTCTTATGATTTATTGTTGTAATAAGTTGCTTCATATGCCACAACTTCCTCTATGTATTAGTACTTTATTGTTTAACTTTATCATTCTCCCCTATAACCTCTTTGTTTCTATTTGTTTGCTTTCTTGTGCCAAGCTGGATAAATATACAGAGCTACTTCCTTTCAAGTTGCATAGGGAAAAAGGCCATTTAATGGTTTGGAGGCTGACATTCTCTTTGATTCCTTTTTGTTTTGTTCTCACATGTGTGGATGAAGCAATGGGGAGGGAGATGATAACGGCAAAGTTGCAACAGATACCACTATAGAAATGGGAGATGCAAGCAACCTGCCATCAGTCAAAGAAAATTCCTCTTCTGAGGCAGTTCTCCCTGAAAACCATACTGGTCAGCTGAATGCGCAAAACACCCAGGATAAGGCCATAGAGAGCATCAGTTCACAGAGTGTAGAAGATTACAATCAGTTACTCAATACATATTACGAACTTGAGGATCAAAGGCAAAAGATTTTGCAGCAACTTAACCAGTTTGGCATATGGAGTTACCAAAATTCTGCTTCTACTTCACAAGAACATCACACTTATGCAGCACATACTTCACATCCAACAGAATCTTCTTTCTACTGCCCATATGGATGCCAAAGTTGGGTGTCTCCATGCACACTATCACCTTGTTGTTTGGATGCTTCTGTACAAGGTGTTCAACAAAAGAACTCATCTCTTCAAAATTCTAATTTGGTTAATATAGCAAAGGAAGCTGCAGAAAAAGTACTATCCTCTTTAAAGCAAGCTTCTAACACGACTTCACCGAATTCATTTGCAAGTGAAGGTGAGCAGCTGTCTAGATACTTGACTGCATGTCTGTTTATTTTTATGTCTAGAGTGTGATGTGGTAGTGACTGGAAGATCCTTGCATTTTCTATAACATATTGAGATGAACTGGAATACGGACAAGAAAAAGAGTTAGGTGGAGAAGGG